GCGCTCCCTCTCGCTCCTGATGCGCGGACCCGGCAGTGGCCGCGCGTCTACCGCGATTGCCGGACCGCGTGTCTGCCGAGGTGTGCGCCCTTGCCGACTGGATCAGCCGCGGGTGCTGAGCTCCGGGTATGGGGCCCCCTGGGAACGCGAAGTCCAAAGAGTGCGACGAAGCCTAGGTGGGGCAACCTCGGTGTAAGCCCGGTGCGGGTGACATGTACGGGGCGAGGATCGCGATTTTCGGTCGGCTATCGAGATACTTTCGCGGTCTTCTCGCGGCACTGGCTTTACGAATTATTGTGGCGTACTTCGGTTGCTTAGGCGCCTCCTTGGGATATTCGAAAGACGCATACGGTTGTGCATTTTACAGTTTACCGTCGAAGACTAGGCAGTGTCAGGATCACGCATTGGCTGATTGACAGTTAGTGAGAATTGCGTGTGGTGGTGGAGTCGCTCTTTCAAAGTAAATAAGAATATTATGAATTGATAAATAAGCCGTAAGAGTGACACGCTACCTGACCACGGAATCCATCGTTATTTCCTTATTTTCAAACGACTCTGTCATTTTTTCTGCAATCAATTTCCAAATAAATATTTATACACATATATTATGGAATTAGACGTTAAATGTTATTCTAGTTTAATATTTACATCATAAATTGCACGCTAAATATGCATTTACGTATTCATAATTCTAATTCGTATTTAGATGCGCTATTATGTACTTGTGGTGAGGACAAATCACGCGATTTGCATAATTTCAAAATTATAAATGACTGAAACTTGCACAAATGTAGAACATTAGTTTCTCTATTTTCTCTAAATTTGTAATGTAAAAAGTGTTTCTCTGGAAAAATTAAATTCAGAAATATGTAATTTAGCTACAATAATATATATTCATAACCAATTCAATATTTAACATAATTTACCTGAATGTGACGCTCATCGTGTACATTTACATTTGATTGTAATACTTACGTAAATTCTATTAATTTTACAATTAGGTAAAAATATCAAAGAATAAGTCTCCTAATAAGAATCGTTCTTTTTATCTGAATATGGGAAGCAACCTATGATGAAAATCGCAAAAATCTTGACTGAAGTAATAACGACCAAAATATGATGTAATATTAAGTTGTGATGATGAATCAGAATAAGGGGTGCTCATGTAAAATTATTTGTCAATGGATCTGACATTGATAAATTAATTGTCGATGACAGACGTTATTATTTCGCATCGTTAGAAAACTCTTTCGCTTGCATAAATCACAAAATCTTTGAATATGATTGTCACAATCATATGTACCCTAAGCTCTACAATTTGAAACAAAGTCTCGAAACGTGTGGGGAAAAAATCGAGAGTAATTATTATATAGAAATTATTAATTCAGTTGACGATTTATTACGTAAGATCAATGAAATAGTCACGATAGTTCAAATTACTAATTAGCTATTGGAAATTTTATTATTGATTATTAAGTTTGATAATAAAGATCACAAATATGTCAGCAAATATTTTAGGCTGTCTAGTTGTAAATATTTTCCAATTCAGCAAATTCCTAATATAATATCAATATTTATTCGTGAAATAATCCTGAATATTTAAAATTGAAAAATATTAAAATAAAACGTTGACGCTTTAAAAATTACAAGTTGGTGGTGATGAAATTCAGTAAGTACATTTTTCAGAGTGACGAGCTACTTTTAACAATTTTATTTTCAAACTCACAACGCTTTAATACATTATTATCGACATAAATAGCCAGACTAGTGCAAAACTTTCTTTGGTCGTATTAAAAATGAAAATAATGTTTATTAATTTTTTTAATATACCACTAATGATAGTATCGATCATTCAATTTTTATCCCCGGATTTGCGAGCTCTTCTCGTATTAAATTGCTATATCGTTTTAACATTACATTGACTTATTTGAAATGCCAAAGATGCAATAAATGTCGAGGAATGCATTCGGTCCATTTATACTGTATATTCAATCTACCTTAATTCTTACATTCAAAAGCGTTCGATAATGCCCTTTGAAACGTTGAAATCGCTCATTTCTATAATTAGATCTTGCTCCCTCGGAGATAAAGTAATTATCCAGTTAAAACGTTCGCCTTTCTTTGAGAATTCCTTAACGACGCGGCACGCCTTAGTTTACCCAGGCGAGACGTCGAATCGAGCTAAAGACGAAACAAAAAAGGTAAATAAGTCCTTTCGTTATCCTTCCGCACGGAAAAATCGAGCGTCAGCACGCGACTCCTTAAAACGCCGGAGAAGCTCGTCGCACCGTAAGATATATATCTTTCCTTCCTCCTGTGTTCCTCCTGATGTCCGCGCGGAATACGTGCACTCGTGCGGCTCTCCGTTAACTTCCGCTGTCGCGGAATTCTGCAGCACACCGCACACGCTCTCGCTATTAGAGTTATCGTAAAGGGATTTGCGCGAATCCAATTTGGTAGCGGGAGAGTTTGCCCCCTCCCGAGGTCGTTGTTTGCTCGCTCCGAACCCTCTACCTCTCCCTCCTCTTTTCTCTTGCTTAGCCACCCCATCCCCACCCCGATCGCCAACTGCCGACTCCCGCCGTACCCGAGGCTGTTTTAAGCGCTTACTCCCTTGATTACACGTAGAAACGACTGAAGGATGGCCGGGCGTTCTTTAAAATCTTCTGTCGAACGTTCGATTTTTATACCAGCAGAATCCTTGGACGATCTTACAAAGGTCTAAATAAAGCCATCTCCAAAGGCTTTGTTCGTGCGCGCTTTTCAACATTTTTTATAATGAGTTTGCTAATGGCGAACATTATTCCGTATGCTAAATTTTTTATCAAAATAAGCATGTCCCAGTGATGCAGCCCATTAAGTAGAAATTTGCGTATGGTTAATCAACGAAATGAAAATTCTTTTCAAATACGGACGAGTAATTTTTTCGGAACTCTGCATATTCGAATAGTTCATTGAAAATATCAAAAGAATAAACGATGCGTGGATAGATAAATGGATGGTAAAACTTAATACTCCTTTTGTTTCACATCCTATTGTAAATTGACGCGATTTTACAAATTAATGTTTTAAATGGCAATATTATATAAAAAAACACACATACATTATCTTTAGGCTACGTAATTATTTACCGCCAAAGTTATATTTTGCAAACGTTAAATAGATTTATATTGATGCATCATTATAAAGAAAACTAGGACCATCTTCAGTGTTACTAAAAAGAGCAATATCGACATTGAAATAATTCAAAATAATAATCAGACATTATAATTTTCAAAAATCATACGTATATTAATTTTAATTTAGAAAATAAATATTTTAATAGGAAAATGAAGTAATAATATCGCTACGAATAAAACTGGCCATTCTTTGATATATATTTAAATTAAAATACTTTAATAAATGAATCAACAGTTTAATGATTAATTTGCAATGATATACTATTATTATTCAAACGTGTTGTATTAGTAACTCAATATAATTTGAATTAAAAAGTGATTTCTGCATTTCTGTGAAAATTAATTTTCTTTTATTAATATAAAATGAAAACAAATGTGAAAAATAAACAAATTTCAAAATTAAAGCAGTCAATCTATCAACAGTGATAATTATTGAAAAATATAATTTTTTTTTCTACTTAACACATTATTTATATATATATATAAATTTATATTGTTGTACAATCGTAAATTTCTTTTAAGCTTTCAACTATATTATACCCATTTAAATAAGTTTCTTATTTATTTTTTGAGTAATATTTAGTATTAATTATAACGATTATTAATCTTATCGATTTACAATTAAAAAATGAGCTATTGTTTGAAAGTAAACAAATTTTCAACTCTCCTGATTTCTCTTATACTAATAAACTGAGGATTCGTAATATTTAATGTTTAATGACATTCGTATTTTTTAATGACAAATCTATGTTAATAAAATTGGAGAGTTTACAGATTAATTATTTTATGTTATTTTTATTAATCTTTTATTGTATATATATATATATATATATATATATATAATTCCTACATATTTTTAAATACACAAGAAAAAAATAAGCGAAATAATGAGCAATTTATCATAACCACTCGTTGTTTGTTTGAAAATTCGGGGAAAATTCTTTCGACCGGAGGCTATTGCGCCTTTTTCGACGATAACGTCGAGAACCGATACGCTGCGAAACTATGAATTTAGGAAAAAAAGTCAGAAATTCGTAATTCAGAAACTAGAATCTCAAATTCAATTCTCTTCAATGTTGAATATTGATGATTAAGCTTAATTTAATTGCGACTCTTTGCTACTCTTGCGTTTTTTTTCACCTTTTTTTCATATTGTTTTTTGTTTTTTTTATATTTTTTTCATTTTTTATTTTCATGTCGATTATTGAAAATAGTCCCAAATCACAATAGCCTTGAAGCCAAATGTCAAAACGACAATTAACGTCAAAAATATTCAACCCTATTCCGAGTTATCCAGAATTATTATACACACATTGTCAAAAGTTTGTAATTACTTTTACACGTGGTGGAAAGAATATTTTTTTACTTTCGTCTATTTCCCAATCGTTTCAAATTTCCTTCATAAATTCATAGAAACTGATAAATATGCATAGTCGAAGCTCTACTTACAAAAAAAATATTTTATTGAAATAAAATGAATTTTTCATCACAGCATGAGTGGTAGACTTTTGGGATAAATAATTGGTTATTTATGAATTATCATTAACTAAATTAAATATATTTTTTTACAATTTATAATGTAAATGTATTCATGTTATATAATATAGACAAATTATTCTTGATTTTGGACACGAAGAGGCGTTAGAATAATATAACGTAAGCAAACGACGATGAGAGTATGTAAATTGTAAAACGTTGTTTGTAAACATTGAATGAAAAGTTTCGTTTAATCAAGCCTGATTATTTTTAATTTATATTTAACTTTTATCGGCAAATTTAACTTGCAATTAATATATAAAAAGCGTACAGTACAGGTGTATATAAATAATCGAAATAAAAATCTAAATAATAGCCGCAATTGTTATAGGTTGCCGCCGAGGTGAGCATCAGTGATTCCATCGTCCCGGGATCTAACAACCGTCGCAGCATTGGCAGGGGTAGGATGCTCGTACTAGTGGTGAAATGTCGGTGACGCAAAAGTTTATTCACTTGCGTGCGATGTCATAGTTATTCCATTATTAGTGAGACAGCACACAATGGCGCTACTATTTGCCGTAATCGTCATAATGATCACCACGGCCATGTCCCTGCCGCCGGTCATTAGAATCGGTGAGTAATATTAGGTTCATTTTCTCTCTTCTTATTTGTCACTTTCATCTCAGTAAATCGTAAATCTTAACGAGAAGTTTCTAAATTCTAAAGTGAGGTGGAATAATCAAACTAATTATGTACTCATTCAATGCGTATTGAAAAAAGTTATAATACATAATTCACAATTATGAAATGCCTTATGAAAATTCAATTTTTCAGGCATGTTTATTATTTACAGACAATGCTTATAGGAAAATTAAAATGTATCTAAAAAAAAAAAAATGAAACTTTCATATATTCAATGTAAAAATGCACAATGTATTTAATGAGCAATTTCTATTATTATGGACCATCACCTTATAATATCGATATAATGCACTGTAGCTTATTTAAATAGATATAAAGGTTATTTGATTTTTTTTTTATTGTGTTATATGAAATACTCGACGTACTTCTTCTTCTGCAACTATTCAATTTTATATTTTCACAATGTTAAAAGAATGAATAACATTAAAAAAAATTTTTAATAATATGTAAATCCATTACTTTTATTTGCTAATTTTATTTGTTAATATGTAATGGCACAATATGCTGTAAATAAGAAAAAAAGTTAGTAAATAGATAAATAAAATATAAAACTATTCATTACTTTTATTGAACAAAAGATGCTATTTCCCTTATTTTTAAATTAAATGGCTAATAACAAAACTAAATCTAATTGAAAAATATTTCAACCACAAAATGAATGTTGATTTGTACTTACCTTAAATCGTCATTTATTGCTACTAATAATAAATTATTTAGAACTTTAAAAAATTTATTTACATAAAAATGGAATTATTAATTGTTTTAGGCGTGCATGAATATTTATACGTATGTCAGGCTTACACAATTTGATTTTGTAATTGAAGACGAATTAAAAAAAAATTTGTAATTTTTAAAACAATTATACAAAGCACTTAATAAATTATGATACAAAAATTAGCAAAGTAATTTTATATGGATAATATCAAATTATTAAGCTCACATTCAGTACTTAAGAATATTCATGAAATTATATCTGAAAAATATTTAATTTTCTTTGTCTAGTATCATGTAGTATTTCATCCTAAGAAAATCTTTAAAAAATGAATGAAAAATGTTTTTTCGCTTTCAAAATGATCTTTAAGGAAGCTATAATTTATGCGTATGGTTTCATTCGATATCCTGACGATTAGACAGGATTCTCTGTAAGCGACCGGAAACCGATCCTGAACTTTCCAAGCATTTAATTGGCCAAATTTCAATTGAACAAGCTCGACTGTGTGGAAACTTTGTGGCAATTTCCGAAACCGGTAAGAGCATATATAATTACGAACGTTTTACTATATTCAATAAATTCACGGAGCGAAAACAGTTTAAACGTTTTGCAAAATTACATAATAAAAACAGAATATTTCAAATATCATTGATTTATACAAAAAAAAAAAAAAAAAAAAAAAAAAAAAAAAAAAAATTAGTGAAATCTAATAAAATATATTTTCAATTCCTCGTAATGAATTTGATTAATTTTGTTAATAATATTTCATACTGGAAGTACCCGACAATTATAGGGAACAAAATATTAAGATCAAATATTAGTTTTTAATGAAGATCCTGCATTATGTATGGTATTACAAATGTATGATAAATTTGTTTTTTTAATTACCACTAATTAATTTAAGAAAAGAAGCACAGAAAAATATCCAGTATCATAAGAAATGCTTTCTGATATCTTTGTAAATTTTATCATTCGACTTTTGAAATTTTTATTTTACTCATCCCATAAAAAAAACAACAAATGAATGTAATAGAATACCAAAGGAATAAAAGACAATTAAAAGAAGTGGACAGGAGAGAGAACGGATGAGAGAAGAAGAAAGGCAAGGAAAATTTCGGGGGAAAGGAAAATCCAGAAAAGGTGATGATAAGCGGTGAAAAAAGACGATCGGTGAGCAAAAGCTCGAGCGGTCCTGCATAGCTGGATGCAACTGGCATTCGAGACCACTTTCCTCGGCTATCCACCCTATCCCATCTCTAACCCATATCCATCAGGATTTATAATTTCATACGTGAGAATTACACGTTGCCAAGAAAGATAATGAAGTGAGTGGGTGTGCTTATTCATTGTTCAGCGCGTTTAGTGAGATTCAAGTGCATACTGGAGGTACATAGGCTTGAGTACGTGATAATTCGTACTTGTAAGCAGTGCCACCAGAGCATTTGAATCTGGATATTACGGGGACGGATTGACGGTGCGCACCTGAGAAGCTCGCGAATGCGGATGCTCTACCTCGTTAAGATTCGACGCGTGCCGTGAAAATACAGCGTGTAGCTGTATTTTCCGACGAACGTATGCGTGAAACCAACGGTAGGACTGACTATTTCATTCCGAAACAATTTCCTATCGGCGCTGCACGACTTCGACTGAATAATGGCCGACGTATTTTCTCTCCCCCGCCTTGTATCATCGAATAACATCACGTAGACAAAGCGCCGAGTAGTAAAATATTCAGGCGCGAGGGTGAGGGGCATACATTTTTGACAGATGAATGATGCAGGAAGGAAAATAGAAAGATCACGGAAGAGAAACCATCGTGTAAGTACGCGAAAGCTCTACTCATTCTTCTCCATAGCGCACGAATATCACGTATCTGCCTCGTATCATGCGAATTCTCTTAAAATTATTTTACCTTTTGATTCGCATTCGGTTGTTACCATAAATGTCTTTGTTGATTTTTAGCGGTACAATCAATGCGGATGATGAGCGCGGATTTCGTTAGATGACGAACTGATTTGTACGCGACGAACATCAAATAACAATATAACGGCATTATAATTACAACGAACTATGTTTAATACAGTGCTGCCAAGTCTATTTAACTGCATAATACTTGGAATAAATTTATTTACAAATAAAACTTATATAAAAGACGAATATCACGAGGGAATGTAACCCCAACCCCAACCATCCTACTTTGTTGTTGTTTTTCATTTGTTTTTCATACACAAGACTTACTGCCGGAATATCTAAGCTGGACAATTGTACAACTTTATTGTCAACTTTGATTACATTTTTATAAATATATATTAACTTCAAAAGTATAGCATTTGTTTTCATATTAAAATATATATCGTATATAATAATAGCGTTACATTATTACTTTTCTGATTTTAAATTGGTAATTAGTATCATTGAATGAGAAAACACCTACGTGCGGAATAATAATATCGGCATATTGTCATTTGCAATAGTAGTAAACCGGTTTATCGGGTTGGCGTCAAGTATTAATGAAATATGGTTTATAACTTTCAAAGTATATCAAGATTCCGGAAAGAATTAAAAGTAACGGGAGATAAAAAAAATTACCGCGAGACGATTGTGATGTTAATTGCAAAGACAACTAATATCTTTGTCTCTTAGCTGAGCGAAGCTCCTAGAAAGACCCGGATATTTTCTTAAGCTGAAAGGAGTAGGAGGAGCTAAAATAAGTTTCCCCGAATGAATTCAAATTGAATACTCGTTAAGCTCGGCATTGATTCATTTCGAGCATTTGCAGTCGATTTTTCTCGATCACGTCAGTTCCCGACAATTGCGCGATGGGAAAAAAAATTTGCGAGTCATCTCGCCTCGTCCTATCAGGCTATCCGAGGCTTTCTCACCCGCACTTTTCGTCCTCGCAAATAAGCTTTATAAAGCAGCCAAGACCGTACGTGCAAAACGGAACTTACCACCATCACGCTAACAGCATTCAAGATTTATTTCTTATGGTGGTGGTGACGCAGCCGCGAGCTACGTGCCGCACCCTACCCCCTGTGGACTGCGCAAGAAAAATTTTAATACGCTTAGAAGCTCTAGGAAGGTACAATAGCTTCGTCCATTTCCAACGACTCCCGGCTATCGCTTATTGAACTTAATTACCGGGGGTGCCTCTGCGTGCGCTTAGTCGCCGACGTCGCGCAACTCGGATTACCCGGGACATTTGAATTTACGCGCGACCCGCGACTCGCTGACGATAAGCCTACGTAATGCCACTAGAGATTTTCAAATACCGCCGCGTGAAAGTTCCTTAATATAGCTGTAAGCGACGTGTTGGCGTGGGAGAGCGCGAAAGTCGCTGTTTAAAATGTATTGCGCAAATATGATGCAGCATTCGGTCAATTCATCGCTTATGATGAAGGCGTAATGACAATGAGCCAAGCACTCGCGGAAAATTTCCTCAATTTTTCCGTCGATGATGCAACGACATTAGCGGACAAAGGCACACCTTATTCTCAGCAAAACCGCGGATAAGCATCAAGTGTGTAAAATTTATTTTTCACCGAGTATTGTCGCGCCGTTTTGCGATACTTAATTTGGCCTGCCAATGTTTATAAATCATCCCGGCTGAAAATCCCGAATTGTCGCGCGCAATTTGAGAATGACACATCACGCATTCGAATATTAATTGATAATGAAATTCGAATAGAAATTTATATTATAATTAAAAGCAAAGAGCAAAAATAAAACGAAGAAAGAAATAAAAACGAAAAAAGAATGAAAAAAGAATCATAGAGTAATCGAAAATGCATAAATTACATATTTCGTTGCAATATCGTAAATTTGTTGTTTTAACGAATAAGCCGACACAGCCGCCGTACCGAGAGAATTATTTGGCCTATGAGTTATTACCTTTTCAAAATACTCAATGCGTAAAATAAATTGTAATGTAGCGCTATTGTTATGAAAATAGAAATAAAAATACTTTATAAATCGCTGGCGCATCTAACGAAAGGACTATCCGCTGCTGCTTTATAATAGCAGGTGATTTGCCGCGAGTAAATTAACGTTCGTACGACCATTAATAATATATTCGTAAAAGGGGAGAGAGAGAGAGAGTGAGAGAGAGAGAGAGAGAGAGAGAGAGAGAGAGAGAGAGAGAGAGAGACATGCACACACAAAAGGACTATAAAAAAATCCAACTTCTACGCAATAATCTGAAAGAGGAGATGGAGGCTCG